CAATTACGAGTATATTATTATCTTTTTTCGTACGTTACTATATATTCAATAATAAATACGATTTATTTAATGCTAGGACTGACTGTAAAACATTTTGAGTGCTGAAAATACAGACCGTCGACATTATTAGCTGCAAAACGAAATACACACCACGGTCGTTTAATTTTGTATCGTTTTCATTCAATGAGTTTCAATAACAATAATAATTCATTAAAGTATTAAATATTTACTTGTATAACGAATGATGATATTTTTAAATTCAATAAAATGTTAATTTTTATATCATTATTAAAGCCAAATCATATTTACTTTTTTTTATTGTTTTCGATCAATTTTTTAAAGATTTTTAGGTCATCAAATTTCAAGTCCTTATAATAACCAAGCACTAAGCGTGTGGTTTTAAATCGGGAAAAAATAACTGAAACATTAAATATTATTAAATTATTAATAAAACTATCACATAAGCTAGCAATTTTTTAAAAACAAATATTACATATTACATTTTTACTCGTATATTCGAATGTACTTACGAACGCCAAACTTGAATTTAATAGAATTTATATCAGTGAAAACATTTCAAATATTTTTTGAAATATAATTTAACAAATTATGAAACATACTGAATTTTCTAAATTTTAAAAATTTTAGAAGTACTGGCTGCAAAAAAATCAGTGTTATAAATTGTTTCGAAATTGATTAAAATCATGTTTAATAATTCCATTCAATATACATATTTATTGTATCTTGCATAAACCAATTTAGTAGAAAAAGTCTAAATTTTAAAATACAAATTATAATAAACATAGATTAAACTATACATTAATTATACAAAAATTTTGGTTACTACATATTCAAGGGATTACAATATTTTTTTTTTTTTTTTTTGCTACAGTTGGTGTTTCATTACATGCAATACCAGACTAAAATTCGTGAAACAACGCATTTAAATTTAAATCAATATAATTGTTTTAAAAATATTGTTTTTTCTACTTTGTAGCTTTTTATATATTTAGATATTAATGTCTATTGTAACTGTCGAAACTAATGGTTCTCACCAAGTTTCTTAATAAAAAATAAAAAAATAAAAAAAATCAATATAATATATTTATACTATAGTACACCGTTGTTATGGTCACAAATAATAAACATTTTGAACAAAAATTGTCTTTCCAAAAACTTCAGTAATCATCTGTACTTGTTGAATATATTCACGTTTTAATGGTTACAACATTTCAACGTTTACCTCAATATTTTAACAACGCTTCGTTTTAATATCTTTATTATTTGCATTTATAATTTTTTTTCTTTTAGAAATTCAAATCAGAAAATATTCTTTATTTATTCTCTATGGATTTAAATTAAGCCACCCATGTAACACCTGCATATATCGTATTTTTCATTTTTTTCTATGCACGAATAATATTTTTTTTTCTCTTTTCGTTAAAATTATACATTTCAAAAATAATCCTACCATTATACTAAATACAATGTACTTCAGTTTTTACCGATGTACCAGTAAAAATACTCTTGTGGTATACATACAACAGTAAATTTAATGTCACCACAAAATAGTAAATAATATCTGCGTCACATTAATTGTAGTGAAAATACGCTATACCCGATAAAGAAGCTAACTAATGAGTTTGTTGTTTTCAATTCTTTGTTAAAATAAGCTTCATTTCATATAATACTAAAATATACTCATGTTTTTCAGAATATTTAACACGACCTTGAAAATGAATCATTATAGCCAATATTTAATTAAAAATCTAATCAACTATAAGTATGTTATATAAGTTATGATAATAATATAATATAACATATTATGTTAAATACCTATTTATGTAAGTAATATCTAACTGATTTAATAGTAATTATAAACCATGGACAAAAAATGATAAAAGTCCATAAAATATATAATAATACAAATAATTATTTTTATAACAATTAGTTATATTATATTTATAGCAAGAAATAATGCAGATAAATTTTACAACTATTGAACAACTTCGTGTGATCATTTTTCTATTTAACTTTTTTACGCATTATTTAATTAGCTGAAAGTTTAAGAACTTTCTAGGAACTTATATCTAAGATCTCTAACTTTATTTTTTGTTATTTTTTTTTTTTTTTAATACTTTCATTTTCTTGATTGTCTATTCATACCACTTAAAATACAGAATACTTTTCAACTCATAGGTTTCAAACTCATTTGAAATTCTCGCACTCATGTATAGTTTTCATAAATAGTTCAGTATCTGCCATCAAATATATTGACTATTGTAACACTGATCACTGACCATTTGTCCAGAGATACGATTAGACCATAGGTTCTTAAACGGGGGTCCGAAGATGGTTACTCGGGAGTCCATGGGATGGCTGTGAGTTTTTTTAAATATGCCAAAAATAAATTTATTTCGATAGCGTTTTTAAGATGACAATAATAATTGTTGAAAGACTTGAAAGCCTCTTGAAAAGATAACAATGTTTTTAAATATAAAACTTAGCTTTCAAAAATCTTATATACCATATAAAGTTATCGTAATCATAAATTAATATAACTTGGCAATACGATCTAAGGAGCATTTCAATTTAACTCGGAAACCTATCACTTCAGGTGACCCGTTACTGTATAATAAATATTATATTTATTTATTTATATATATGTATATTTTTTTTACTAAGGAGGTCCGTGATTATATTTTATGCTTTAAAGGTTAAGAATCTATGAATAAGCCAGTGCACTTTGAATATGACTATTATCATAACGTCACCCGTCATTATCACAATCAAGATATCGAGAAAAAGGAGTAAATTAAACAGAAATAATTAAACGTTATTTTATGCTAGGTACAACTACTATAAAATAAAAATCATAATAATCAACATCGTAATACAAATTTATATCTATACCCCACATAAATGTATTCAAAATAAATAAGACGAATGATAATTATAATGCAAACACCGATGGCACGCTCAGTGTGGTCACAACATACGACTATAATAATCAAAATAATTCATATTAATGAAATGGTATATATATTTAACAACTTTGATACGTACTTTCCTAGATTCCATGAGTCGTACTCAGATATTTCATCTATTTATATTTCTCGTATTCATGACATGACACGAGTTCTACATAAAAATGTAGTTGCTTCGCAAATCAATCTATAACTCTATGCGCCCTTTCCCTCTTCGGTTGCGTTCTTTTGATAGAAACTAAACCGTACCCTAACCCGTTAGAAACGTGAATAATAACAAACGGACCAATCTCAATGTATTTTCCATGATGTACACTTGTGATCCTAATTTACTAAACGCTATGTACTTTATAGTATACCAAATCGTAATATTTTCGAAAACTACAATGCTATCTATATTATCTATCGAACTCAGACGAAATCTATCTGTAAATTGATGATCCTTTTAAAAATATATTTCGACTATTCACCATTGTTGTTCTCATTACTTCATAGTTATTTAATTCTCAGTATACTCATTATTATTCTCATTATTTTGTATAATAAAATATTCTCTAATTATCCGATTCCATCCGAAATCTAGATGTTGGCTTTCCGTTTACTTTTCTTTGAAACTTTGAACGATTGCGAGTCACTCGGCTTATTTTCCCCCTCGATTTGCTACAACAATTTTCACAGTTTCAATATATATAATCTGAGACATGGTAAGATAATGAAGATTAAAAAATAATAACAAATAAATAATGAGAAAAAAAATTGTATATTTAAAACACATTTTAATGATTTGTTTTTTTAATTAAATATTGTAAATTTACATTGTAGCGAATAATTAGAAACATCGTATGGAAATTAACTCTGAAATATTCACGTTTAAAACACAAAAACTAATTGTATTAAATATATATTTATAGTCATGTATAAAATCAACGTATGTAAAATAAATGAACGCACATTTTTTTAAATTATAAAACGAAGGAAAAGACTATTTGTTAAATTAAAATCCTAAAAAAAGCCAAATTCCATTAATTTCCATCATCATATTATGTAAATAACTAAATTGAATCACTACTCAGATTTGTGCTTAAAAAAAAAATTTACGCTGTTTTATCATATTTTAAATGGCGAAATGCACATAAAATAGCGACATATACAAGCCATTGTTCTGGAAGTTTTTCATTTGTAACAGTCAGCATAAATGTACTTTTATTTTAATGAACATTTGTTAACCGATTGTTGCGATGATAAAATGAACATAAACATCATATTATATTGTTTTATTTCAGCCTAGCTAAAAAAAAATTATAAATTCAGGATAGTATATAACAAGTGAAAGTAAAATTTTTCATTTAAATATATACTAGTTGATTTACACGACTTCTCCTAGTTGTAAAATATTTATGTATACACCTCCCCGTAACCCCGTAACCCGTATTCGTTCACGACCACTCTCGTAAAATATCTTGCTGATTTTTTGCAAAATGGTCCTCGTTGTATACATATATATTAATATATAACATTAATATTTGAAAATAAAATTACATAACAATATTATTATAACTTCCATGAAGCATTGCTTGGAAAGACGGTTAAAATATTATGTTAATCGTTGTTAAAAAATAACCATGATTTGAACTGTAACGAATCATAAAATCAGTACTATTTTCTTGCCGTCTAGACGTGCAGATATTTCAAAAATTTTAAATAAATCAAACGTTACCTAAATAGCATACGGTCTTACTATGCAACGTGTTGGAAAATTAAAGGTAATTACAGTGAAGAAATACATTATGGTGTCCATTTCCAATATTGCAGTTAACTGCCATTGATTCGTATCAAAGAAATATTCCGTTTCGGAAGAGTTGATACGTTCTTTTTTGATTTTAACTCGAATAGTTACTGTAACAATACAGATAAAAATGTCGATTTGAAAGCCGAAAACTTGCGTATTAAAGCTCTAACGCATTGCAAACGTGATGAACTTAGACTTAACCCGTTGGTTTTTCTTATTTTCAGATACTTCAGTTGCAGATGAACGACTACCGCTATCATTTTCTTTTCACTACGTTTGTAAGTATAGCGATAAATTACAAACGCGAAAACAGCAGAACACTGCGTCCTACACTGCTACTATCATCGTATCCGAACCGTCCATGACCTCAAGATGAAACAACTTATCCCACGTTTTCTTTCAGGACCTAGAAACGTTCGATCTGGAAGACTTCAAGTACAATTCGGTGAACATGACGTCGTATAGGATAGTTGACGACGAAAATCACCGAGTGGTCAACGTTCTGCGCGAGATGGAGCGATTTCAACGAGTCGGGCAAAACATGCTGCATAAAAGTGGAATCATCAGGGTATTATATTTCCGTCCGATTAATGATTTTCAATTTTTGATTTTAGGGATATTTTAAATTGATTTGAATTATTCTTTTAAACTTCTCAATTCTACTTTATGATTTATCAAAAATAAGGTTTTTCGTTTTTAAATGACAGATTAAATATTCCGAAAACCCTAATATCTATTGTCAAATGGAAATTTCCTGATAACTGTTTTAAAAAAAAAAAAAATTGCGTTAATGATACGATTATACAGAACTTCTGAAATACAAATATGCATTTAATATAAAATATGTAGACGTAATCAAAAATAAACTATACGATGCCTTAGTAACTTTTTTAATACTTACCAATTACAAATGTAATTCATTCAAAAATTGAATGAAGTTTAGAAAATACATTTTTCGAATAAATATTTAGCATTTATTCTCGGTTAAATTCAGTTTAGTGTTTTCGTTTTCGTCCGAATACCATTGAAACATATTAGACTCTAAAATTAATATTTGAACATAAAGCATTTCTTAATCTAACCCGAAAAACATCGAATACACTCGCGCCAACGTGTTTTTATACGCACGCGTTATGCTTCATATTGCGTTTTATTTAACGCAAAAAGTGAATAACCATGTAATTACATTGTAATACTCAAACGCCGCCGTGCAAACGACGTTGCAACGTGGTTAACGAGTGCGTATCGTATTATCGTAAAACTCGGTCGTTAAAACGGTTAGAAATTCGACAATAAATGTACTTAAAAGCAACGATCAACTGTGCCTACACGCCGTACAACATGACAATACGTGTTTATTGAATATAAGTAGTACGCGAAATGTTAATAAACAGGTGATTAGTGTTTTTTTTAATATCGGAAAATCTCTCATTGCGTACATATTTGTTCCACTCAGCCGAATGATTCAACTGATATAAATTTTGATTTCAATCGAACTCGTTTCCCGGTCTAATTCACTTATGAACTTGTTCACCAGAATTGGAACTAGGAATTTTTACGCCCGGATAAAATGCTAAAATTATGCCCTATCATAGACCAATATTCAAATACTCTTCTCGAGAATTTTTTTCTACTAATTAATATATATATAATCATACTTATTGAGTTTTAACCTTAAATAACAGTATTTAACAAAGTTAAAAATATCAAATTAGTTTTTAACAATAACAAAAATTATACGTCCGGGGATGAATCCCCGTATTCCACCCCTTAATTCCGCCCCTGTTGTTCACTAACACAATAACATTTTCGCGGCTGACAAAATTTGATCATGCAGCACGTTTCATAATTTCCTAAGAACTATATATCATCTTATTCATACCCGTCGAATCCCGAGTCATCTTTTGATCCCGTGGATGTACAAATGTTACAGCCAAAACATTATGTTTACGTTTCTAGTACTTGTCGTACGTAGAAATACCTAATAGTGTTTTACACGATTTTAAAACGATTTTCCGATTGAATTTAAAAACATTCAATAACTAAATGTACGGATATTGCTATAACTTTATCCGCAATCCTACCCCTTATTCCCGTACATACACTGTTCTACACGATGTACTCATAATATCCACGGTGTGTTGAGTAGGCTGAACCCGCTCTGATGTACGACGCGGTCAACGTGTTCGCCAACAGCATCGGGTCGTTTGAAGGGTCATCCGATTCAATGAAGTCGGCCAACATTTCGTGTAAATCGTCGAACCGTTGGGCGAACGGCACGTTATTGTACAACAGACTAAACGCGGTTAGTATTCAACAATATTGTGATGACGTCACAGCCCCAAGCGGATTATATTTGGTTTACACTGAGCTGAAAAGGGACTTGCGATAATTATTTACTCATTAGCTCTTACGATTTCAATATATTTTTGAGTGACTTAGACATCCCCCGAACAGTGTTGTAAAACATTTGACACCCGTTATTTTAATAAATTTGACAGTATCAAACAAAGGTTTAAAAACTTAATTTCTCATAGCGTTTAAACTTTTTCAGTCAATTTATTGATTGACTTTATAAAATGAAAGTAAAAATATTGTTTAATCTCTTTTGCGTGAAATAAAAAAACTAATAAATGCACCACAAATTTTGTAACTTATTGCAGTGTAATGTACTAACACTGTCGAACTAACCACTCGGCCATTTACAGCAGTATACATGAACATGCATCATTATGATTAAAATTATTATTTTAGAATTAAAAAGAATACATGCATTGTTTATGTTATCTATATGGTTAGAAAATCTTGTTAAAATTAAATTAACTTTTTTATAACGGAGTTAAGAAAATATTTTATACAATACTAACATTGCTCTAAATTATACTAAATTTATATTTTTTTAACAATTAACTTTAATTTTACGTTTTTACTATGATTTAACTAAACTGGCTGAAGTTAATTATATTAATTAATTTGCCCTTTGTGGTATGAACTACTATTTCAAATAAGTACTTAATTCTCGAGTTTTCACTATGATATTTCAAAACAAATACTTCAGTTGAAATATTTTTTAAAAGTAATTTTTACGAACACTGTCCCCAAGTCCCTTTCCAATATCCACCTATAGCTACAGTTCGTGAAACGTGTTGGGTGATGATTTGAGATTTTTTTGATTTTTTTTTTTTCTTCGGCACTCTAGGTGGTTATAGAAGGGTTGACCGGCAGAGTGCACTTCGACGAGGGCAGGCGATCAGATATCAAGCTGGACTTGCTGAAATTACACCAGGAAAAAGTGAAAAAAGTTGGATTTTGGACACCGTCGACTGGTATTAACATCACGAGACATTCGGTATTTTACGGACAGCAGAGCTCCAACGTCACTTTAATCGTAGTCACAAGAGTCGTAAGTAAAAAATTGCGAGGTCTAACGAACAAAAATATACTATACAGTAATAACGCTGAATCAGAAACGTATATTCTAGTACTGGATATGAGCCAATTTTTCTAAAAAAACGTTTTTTTCCGATTCCGATCCGGCACCAAAATGCCTGCGTTCGATACTGATACCCTGCAGTTACACCGATATAGTCATTTTCTTAAACGTGTGAAAGTTAACAATCTCTCTGCCTATTACATTGTGTTATTTGTAAATGACGTTTGCAGAACACTCAACACAATACAAAATTATTGTGATCAATAATACGTTATTGGTATAATCTAAATGTATTTAATTTAAATAATAATAAAAATCAATATGTATATAACGACATAAAGTGAATAATATCGTGGCTAGTAGATATGCTGATAAATTTATAATTATTTTAACATACTTATCAAGATATTTTATTAAAATAATGTGTACAAAAATGTTAATAAAAATTTGAAGATTAAAAATTGTTATTAAATAAATACGCGGTTAATTTTATTATACATATTACGTTTTGATTTTAAATTCTTATAATATATAATTTTTCTTATAAGCTATATATACTTTAAAATTGCTTAATTTTTATTTGTGGAAATTGTCATGTATTCGATTTAATTTTTATCATAATCATCCCGATGTATATTGATTTAACTTCACTTCTATTTAGCTGACTTATTATCTGGTTCGAATATTAGTCTTGACTCCTGTGTATCAAATACAAATTTTAGTTTACTCGTCCTGTGCTTAAAAAATAACAAACGAATAACAATATGACTTACAGAAAAACGTAATAGAAAGTATTTTTTTACTCCAAATGCATTACTTTAGAAAAAAAACTTCGCTTCAAATTCAACTGTTCATCACCTTTTGAAAGAAAACAACAGAAGTCGTTAAATTACATATAATACACAAACATAAAATATATACACACACTACAGCTCCATCTTTTTCCGATTTACTATTCCTTGTAAAGATTTTAACATGTTTTTATTTTTTTTTTTTTTTTTGTCTGCTCCGACGTACAAAAGAACGTAAAACAATTTACTCAGCAACTAAAAATCTTTTTTCCTTGCTCTAAAAATGTATTGGTCTTACGACGACGTGGTGTGTTCTATCCTCCGTGTTTCTTTTGTTTTCAAAAACACGAGGCACACATACATTACGCAGGTATAAAGCGTAAAATCAAAATTTCACGTACAAGTAATATAGTAAAGAACTTCTGCTACGGATCAGCGCCCGAAATAATGAAAATATTTTTAAAAATACGCATATTTAAATTTCGTTGTTGCAGTTTAAACCGAACACCCTTACATAAACACTTGATGACGGAAAATAGCGATTCACACAGTTTAATCTCATTTATTCTTCTTCTTCTTTTTAGTTACGGCCCTTAAGACCATCCTGAAAACACTAAATTTTGCCACCTATCCCTGTCCTCCGCTACTTCTCTCCACTTGACACCAGGCTCTATCTTTTCCACTTCTTTCTTCACACAATCTTCCCATCTTAACTTAGGTCTACCTATTGGTCTTTTTCCATTAGGCTCATCTTCGATCACCCATTTTACTAAAGTACCCTGTTTGCGCCAAGCATGTCCTGCCCAACTTAGTTTCCGCTTGGTGATCTCTCTAACTATATTCGGCCTCTGGAAAAGTCCTTGGAGTTCCACGTTATGAAGTTTTCTCCATTCCCTCGTTTGTCTATCGTATATGGGGCCAAAAATTTTCCGTAGAACTTTTCTCTCGAATATCATTAATCTTGATTCTTCTGTTTTTCTTCATCTCATTTATTACATTTACAAATCGGTCTTCAGTTTAAATCCACTTTGAAAAAATCTCAAATTAAAACAAATCTACGAATTTTCAAGTAGGCCATTGGGTGAAATTGTATCCTACTCTTGTGCATAATTAGGTACAGTATAAACACATCGTAATTATTTTAGTTAATTAACCAGTGGCCTGGTATAAATCGTTATGATAAACTCGGTGGGGTAAAAAATGAAATCTAAGCGGGAAAATCATCCAAGCCTCGGTAAGAATAATATCTATTCTGAACTCGGTTATAACGTATACGTGTACGTATAATACATATATAATGTACGTCAAAATTTATAAGTATTAGAAAAAACTAAATGTTTAAAATATTGAGAACGTGAGATTATCCTGTGTCTGTTTACATCCCAAAGACTGCGTGTTAACGATCTCAAATACATTTTCATAGACGTGAGATCTGTTATAATTATTGGTTCTCTTATTGTTCCTCCGTGACTTTCGATCATAATTATTTAAATTTTTTCCGAGACTCCGTTCGATGCACGGAAATTAATGTTTATAATAACAGTTATGCCACCACATTGAATGAATATTTTATCCAATGACGAAGATAATTTTCATTAAATATAATCTATATGGATATAACTATATAGTAAAAGATTTTGTGAAAATTAAACTTAGTTAATACTATAATATCTAATACTAATAATTTTTTATGTATTCTGTTATTATCCTGATACGTATAGAGCAATTTTCATTTTTTTTTTTTTTTTTGTATAACATTTTAGTGATTAACTATCATTAAATATTATATATTATATATAAATAATACTTAGTGGTACACTACATTACTACAAAAAACATTAAACACCTAGGTAACTATTGATAATAATAATTATAATTGAGTCTTCATAGATATTATAAGAATATGAAATATTGACCAAAAAATAACATTTTTTGAAAATATCTTTTTTTTATCTAGATAAAAATAAAATTATCTTTTATCTTTATCTAGATATTTTAACTTTTTTATCTATTATCTTTATCTAAATGAATTTGGACATATTATCTTTTATCTTTATCTAGATAAATTTTACGTTATCTATTCCTAACACTAATAATAATAATAATAATAGTAGAACAAAATATAAATTTGCATTTATTATGATTGGTGTTACGAATATTTAACTATACCTACAATATTTTATGTTTTAAATTAATTGAAATAAACATACAAAAAGCTAATTATTGGTTTATTCTATAAAAAAATTATATAAATTTACTTTTAATTACTATTAATCGTTCTTTCCCTCGTAGATCAATATAATTATCATTACTAAAAAAATAAATTATTTCGAATAAGATAAAAAAAAAAATGATAATAATGATAAATTCTAACGACAAAAAATTCACAATATTGCATACGACCATGGACTTTTCACATAAAGAATAAAAAAAATATTACCAACATCGGGTTTACTAACCACATTCACAAATGTAATGAATTAAATCGAACATTAATTAACTGTGGGTTATTATATGTCTTTAAATCAATTATTCATTAACTATTATATTATAAATTAAATGATATTACCTTTCTGATCCTTACCTGTTGAAACCGTAGCCAATATTTGAGGTGTTAAATGTGATGACCAATAAAGCAAGAAAAACTTTTTTCTTTAATTTACAATAATACTTATTAATTTATTTAAACTCTTCAACATATTTTAACGTACATATACTTTAAACATTTACATATAATATATCTTATTGTATAGACGATCTGCGTAGTCTTTTAATGCTCGCTTTTGACCGTCTATACCAATAGACAATAATAACGCGTATCTTCTAGTGACTAAAAACGGAGCTCCTTATATCTAATATTATATGTATGTATGTGTGTGTATGTGTCTTATCTTATTCTTAATGACTAACAATTATTGTAATTATTTTATTTTATATATATATTGGATCTAAAAAGATATGATGGCTTAAACGCACATCATTACACAAAATAAAAAATAAAAAACGATTTTATTTCAACTCATCAATATGTACTTAGGCATTAGGCATGTGTGTTTATGTATTCGAACAATTATCGTCATAAACCACTACTTCCCGGATCAGCCTCACGTTTTTGTTTCATAAGTCACTCACCTTCTCGTAATCTTTTTTTTTTTTTTATAATAAGTACGGGTAACTTACAAATTTAAAAAACTTCTACTAAATATGACCTAACAAGCCTACTCTAGCCTTTTTTATCAGAAATATGTTTTTATTTCATATAGTTTTCCTAGATCCGTGTTTTTCCTTTTCTCGTGTTGTACATTTTTAGATTCCGTACGATTCCTTGTAATTTTTGTAAGACTTTATCTTTTCGCCACATTTGTCCGTCCCCTAGGGTAAATATTAAAACCGAAATTCATTACATCACTATTGGTTGTAAGTAAAAAATTTAGAAGTTTTTCTTTTGTAGTTTTTGATTACATACCTAACTAGAGCTAAACATTTTATTCGTTGTAAAATATGCTCGGTACGTTAAGCTTATCCTTACTTTTATTTAGTAATGTGCATGTTATACCTAGTATTGATATTAATTTATATATACTCATATATTCTTAAAACTAGTATTACCGATCATTTTAGTACAATTATCACTCATGGAAAGTCAAATTGTAAACCTGTTATCAATGATCAACAATATATTGAACGCGAGCGCATGAACTGAAATCAACTATCTATCTATTAATTTCAAGTGAAAATTGGAATAGATTATCTGAAACAAAATGATACAAATACGGTTATCGAAAAATTTAATTTAACAGTTAATAGATTTATTTCATCTTCCAGTAATGTTCTATTAAACTACAAAAATAAAAAAATTAAACATTGGATTACAAAATAGCTTATAACTTAAATTAAGAATAGAGAAAAATTTTACAATAAATTACATAAACAGCCGTTTAATACAAACGTATACTAACTATCGGAATTTATTAAATAACATTATTAAATTAGCTAGAAATCTACATTATGAACATTGTACTTATTAATATCGCTGGCAATGACTCTAAAAAAGTGTGGAATCTAATTAAAGAAGCTGCTAATATTACTAAATGTAATAAAATAAGTTTCTAACATAGAAGACAAAAATGGTACTAAATTAACTGAGAAAGACATTGTGCGCCAGTTTAATAATTTCTTCTCTAATGTTGGTGCAGAAATATCTATGAATATTAAAAATAGTAATTTTAAAAAAGTTTCCTTTTATAATCTAAATAAAAACTGCTTCATTGCTAATTCAATATTTTTAAAACCAATTGAACCATCTGAAATTTTAAATTTGATTAATAAATGCAAACAATTTAATTCTTTCTGTAGTAACTATTTAACAAATAATATTTTAAGAATGACGACTAATTGTATATCTTTTCATCTATCTTTAATATTCAATATTTGAATAAAAATCAATTGTTATTCCTATTTTTAAAAATGGCGATAAAAATAAATGTTCCAGTTATCGACCTATAAGTCTAATTCTTACAATATCTAAATTATTTAAAAATATGTTGAAAATGAACCATGATACTACATATTACCAAATAAATTATACTTATGTGGTATAAGGTATTGATCATAATTTAATTAGCTCTTACTTACGGGGAAGATCGAAAAGAGTTCAAATAAATAATCAATTTAGTGATATGACTAACATTAATTACTCAGTACCACAAAGTACTATACTTAGATCGTTATTGTTCATAGTTATATTAATTAGAGATGGGCCGATACCACTTTTTACCGATACCCGATATTATAATCACAAGTAAAAACTAAGTTGATTTTTAAAATATTAGATAAAAAAATCAACTTTTTTGGCAAAACCATCAACCGATACTAAAATTAATCCAATACCACAAACTGATAAAACCGATACCAGATATTATTATCACAAGTAAAAACGATTTTTTATATATTACATGAAAAAAATCAACTTTTTTGGCAAAACTATCAACCGATACAAAAATTAATCCGATACCACAAACCGATAAAACCGATACCCGATATTATAATCACAAGTAGTTTTTGTGGTATCGGTTCAAATATCGGTTTTGAAAATAAACCGATACCGATATTTCCGATACCACCAATATCGGTCGATACCAAGTATCGGTTTTAGGATCGGCCTACCCCTAATATTAATATACTTCTCAATATGAGTACACGAGCAAAATTAATCTATTTTGCTGACAATACAGTTATTCTAGAATTATAACATAATTTATTTGTATAAAATAGCAGAGAATAGTTTTGCAACAGTTAAAAATTGAATTAACAATAACTCTTTATTAATAAACATGGAAAAAACTAAATTTATTCATTTCAAAACAACAATAACTTTGTCAACTGAAAACCGAAAAATTACCGTTCATTCGTACAACTGCCTTATTAATATCAACCCAACAATTATTTGTAATTGTGTTTCATTAAATCGGGTAGCTTCAATTAAATATCTGGGTTATTAAATTGACGAGAACTTAAAATGGAATATTCATATCAATCATCTAACACGATTAAAAATGTTTTCACATTTTTAAATCGCTCAAACATATCATGAATTATAAACTAAAAAAATTAACATAGATTTCACTTGCACAATCTATTATTTCTTATAGTATTTAATTTTGGGGAGGTACATACGTAACACATCTCTACAACCTTGGAGTAACGCTGAATTCACTTATCAAATTAAGTTTTAATTTGCCTTACTTGTTTCAAACATCTAAATTACATGGAGAATTAAATATACTAAGTTTAAAATCATTGTACCTTAAAAATATTTGTATAAAAGATGACATTGCTGTACCAAGTCATAATTACTCTACCAGACTTAAATCTAAGTCAAATGTTACTGTTCCAAAAATTGAACAATTTTTAGACAGCAATGTCCTCAATACAAGTTTATTCAACTTTGTTATGACCATGATTTAAATGTATATAACTTCAAAAATGTTGAATGTATAAAAATTATATTAAGTAATACTTTATTTTAGTAATTTTATTTTCTCATTTAATATTCAATTAAGTAGATCTGTTAAATTCTTATAGTTAAAATTTGTTTCTAACCACGTATTATCTAAGGAACTCTCTCCTCTAGCACAGCTATTGGCTTTTGAAAAGATTTTTTTTTTTTTTAAATAGAATCCATTTATTCATATTAAAGATTGGCAGATTGGCAGATCGGGAGAACGGGAAATTTCCCGATGGGCTGATCAAAAGTTGAATTGTATCCCGTTTTGTAATATTTTATTGCGACTTTTATAGTACAATAATAATTTTACTTTATTTAAATCACAACTTAGAACTATGTATAAATTATTAATTCCTTAATAAATATGTCAATAAATAATTTTTGAAGTGTATTTATATTATGTATTATATTTCATGAATGAATATTTAACAGAAAAATGTGTGATATTAGGTACAACAAAAATATTGAAATAGAATAGTTGGTTAAGCCAGTGTTTCCCAACATTTATGTTAAAGATTAAAATAAATTCCCTTTGTGTTGGGTAGATGACCAAAAAAAAAAATATAGTATGCTTTAATATAATAACATTACTAATCATTTCATTATAAGAAATTTTATCATATAATTTGACGCAATACTGTAAAACTAAATTATAATCTAAATAATTATATTTTGATAACTATGATATTTTTCTTGTTATTAGTTTACAAACAGCGTCCCATCAAAAATATTTTGCCACCCTATATTGGGTCACGACTCTAGGTTGGGAAACGCTGGATTAAACAATGGTATTCGTGCAATTTTAAAAAATAATTTCCAAGTCGAATTGAAGGAACCCTTTTAAAAGTTATAATTAAAAATTATATGTTGCTTTAATAATAATTTGGATACAATTAAAATATATTTAAATCGATTATTTATATACATGATTTCGACCAATAGATTTGAGCTCTAATCATCACAATTATAAGAAATTTCTAATAAACATTATTGTCTATTTGTAGTTTAAAAATTTTCCAACAGCTTTCTTAATAATTTTAAAAAACTAACGAAAAGTTTTAAAAATGCGGAATTTTGGTTTTCAACAAAATCAAAAGTTTGTTTTCTTCATAACTTAAAAAATAATAATCGTAAATATAAAATTTTAAAAGGATGTCTATATGTTATCATGATTTAAAACAAATATTTTAATGAGTTTATGAATACTATACTGTTTAAAGCTTATTGAAATTTTTTTTTTTTTTTCAAAATTTTAGATTCCTTTTTTTTTCTTTTGCTGCAAAAGTTAAAACATTAAAAATTCAACTTACCTACTTAAAAAAAGTGGTTCTACTTTATTATTCATCTTTAGAAATAAAACTGATTCACTAGAGCTATTTTATTCGAAAACGAAATTTCAAGGTTAAAATACCAATTAATACAATTCCATTCATCCATTCCTATATCTTATATCTCACCCAACCATGAATCTCACTTAACATATACGAAAATATATATTTTATATATATATATATGTATATGTATAAAATTTTGACCTATCACTAAAATACAGGTACATATATAATAGTAATAGGTCAAAATTTGAACTCGGTATGAAAAAAAATTCTTACCGAACTATTAAACTTCTAGTACTGTTCAAAATTCGAATTTGCAAATATTTGTCGAACTACACATACAAACCACAATAGTCCGAAAACCAAATAATGAATTTTAAAAACAATTTTTACAATTCTTTAAAAGTTATTTTTAAAAATTATAAATATGTTGGTGTTATTAATAATGACTAGGTGTTGAAAACCACGTGTCAGTATTGATTATTATTTTTATTATATTTTTTGTAACAAGAAAACTCTATTTTAGGAAATCCTATGGAAATATTCCGCTTCTTTAGCTGTTTTTCTGATAAAAACATGTTAAAATTATGTATTTCTATGTATTGTGAATTTATAAAAAAAAAAAATATTTTTAATTATATAAATTCAAATTCAATATTCATAATTAAGACAGGACAACGTCTGCCGAGTCAGCTAGTAAAGTATGGCTAGTATATATGAATAGAAACAAATAAAACTCATTTTGTAAACATTTTCACAATAAATTCATTAGTTTCATTTCATGGTACATCTGTAATATTTTCATATTATGGTTTTGAAATATTCCAAAAATCGGTATTATTAAGTTTATAAGGACATTTTGTATACACAACTAACTGATACAATAAAACTAAAACTATACAATTGTATAATAAAATAAGTGAACAGTACAAACTATAGGTCAAATATTTTGACAAGGTAAAAATTAACAGTTACAACAAATTTAGCCTCCTCGATGTAAATCCAATAGTTGATCCTCTGTGATAAAAATACATATTCACGGCTTTAATAAATATCAATTCTTTATCAATGACTTGTTATTGTTGTGTTACAAAGTTCAATTCAGCAGTAATATATTAATGCTTTTTACAGGAAAAGCCCTATGTAATGATCAAAGAAGACAAAAACCTAACGGGGAACTCCAAGTACGAAGGATTCTGTATTGATCTACTCCATAGAATAGCATCTCAAGTTGGATTCCACTATGCAATTACATTAGTGCCCGATAACAAGTACGGAGCTTACGATCCCACGACAAAACAATGGAACGGTATAGTTAGAGAACTCATGGACAAGGTAATAATATACGTTAACAGTATATACCCGTATACGATATGATTTATTTATGCGTTTTCTATGGCCAAAAATGTATTTCGTGTTTCAGAAAGCCGACTTGGCTATGGCTTCGATGACAATTAACTACGCTCGTGAGAGCGTAGTTGACTTCACTAAACCGTTTATGAACATGGGCATAGGCATATTGTTTAAGGTACGCGTAATCGATAAAAAAACACTCTAGACATAATAAATCAATTAAAATTAACGAAATACAATCAATCAAATAGTGTGAGGTATAGACAAAGACGAATTTAATTTGTATTGTAAAGAATACATACATCATAATATGTAGTTCAGTAAAAAAAAAAAAAAAAAAAAAGAGACACTGTAAAGCAAACTTTCACAATCATCACTTAAAATCTAAAAACTTTGCGATTCCCCAGAGCGTTTTATTACCACGCTTTATTTACTTTTCCTATTATACAAGTGATGAAAAAACAACTCAACAAAGACCTGTAAATAAAAATAGAATCAACAAAACCACAACTTAAAACAACACGTTTGTTTCTCGTTTTTGTTTGCAGGTGCCAAGTAATGAACCGTCCAAATTGTTCGCCTTCTTAAATCCCTTAGCCACCAGTGTCTGGAGCTTTATGCTCCTGGCCTACATGGCGGTGAGTTTTTCACTTTTTTTTTTAGCTAGGTTCTCTCCATACGAATGGCGGCCGCACACCGAGGAGAATTACCGCGAGAATCGTTTCACCATATCCAACTGTTTTTGGTTCATCGCGGGCGTGTCGTTGAAACAAGACGCGGGAATCACTCCAAAGGTACATAATATTATTATATAATGATAATATTTTAAGCGTGATATTTTTCCGTTATTGAAAATCCATCGACACAGACACAAAAAGAGCACAATTTTATCTTTCAACCTGGAATACCATTGCTTAAGAGTAACCTCACGCTGGTAAAAGGAAATTTCTTTAAGTGGATGCTACTTACTTAAAATATAAACATTATAACATATAATATTGTTCGGACCACTTCCCGTTTCTGATCACTCAGCGGGTGGAGTGGATCCGTGTATTAATGATGCCGGAAAGGGAAAGATGAAAGTTATGTGATCATAAATATAAAACACCGATAGGCTTTATGTATACAAAAAAAAAGAGTGGACTGTATTTTGCAATTGTAAATATAATAATTATAATAATAATAATAATAATAATAATAATGAAAAGTAGGCGTCCACTTACAACAATATAATAAAATGAAAATACTAAATAATGATAATACAACAACTATGATAATAATGATAATCCTTGATAACAATACCGAGAATCCGACTGTCACCTGACCGCGTTAGTGATTGATGACGACCGCGACCGGATATAAAATGATATCGATGGTAGCGCCAAACAGGACCGTTTCCTCGTGGTACCATGTGAACACGTGCAACAACGACCGCGGAGTCCGACGCGGCAACGCACACGCGAACACGCCAAAGAAAATGGTGATGAGACCGACTCAAGACCGCGACAAGGCGACACAAAACACCACGTTATGTGTGCGCGTACGCAAAAAAGACATCGACTACACTAACTCGACAAGACGACACAACACGTTCCGTCATACACACGTAGGCCGTCTATGTCGGACTAAAAATGAAAAGAAAAGGTCGCAGTGTGATCACACACGTGACCGGTTATCGCGGCGGCGAGCACTTCTGGAATTTTCTAGACGCGATACTGCCCGTAATGAAAATGGGGAAAACTCATCATTGCCCGAACAAATATAATGTAGTAATTTATAATTCATAATGATACAACAAAATTAATAACACGACAATTGAGATTAACTGTTGTAAATAATGTAAGAAAATTATTTCTAGGGTTATCCTCAGTAAACAATCAGTCTGCTATTTTATACTATCATTTGAAAGAAAGTTTATTATTAGTTTATTATAAGAAATTATTAAAGAAATATATTTCATGCTCTTTTGATATTACCGATTTATGCTATTTTTTGCTCATTTTACAAAAAAATGAGTAATATATTAGGTAACAAACAAGTATTGATAAATCGTTTCCGTGTTTAATATACTTATAGGCTACTTCTGCTAGAATTCTTGGAGGTATATGGTGGTTCTTCACGATAATAATAATACCATCTTACACCGCTAACTTGACCGCATTGAGAACAGTTGAACGGTTACAGAAACCCATTCAAAACGTCGCGGAATTATCATCGCAAGAAAAAATATCGTTCGGAACCCTCGAAGGGGGATCAACTATGTCATTTTTCAGAGTAAGTATTGAATCACTTCGACGTATTCTATACTATATTATACTTAGTACTAAGAAAATAAATGTTAACAAAATAGCGAATTATATTATTTATACCAGTGTTGGATACAGAACAAAATAACAGAAGGATGAGCGGCTTTTATAATTTAAACTAACCTTTGATATTAATGAGTTAAGAGAAAATCTAATACATTTTTTAGATATAATACTTTTTAAAATATTAATTATTTACATACATACAGAATATTTATTTATTTTGAAAACGAGGGTGAGTGTTCGACTACTTCTTTATTGGATTCATCTCTGTTTTATATCAAACCTCAATTTGTTCTCGTTTATGATATTTTTGTTTATAATATTTTAAAAATCTATATAATAACGAAATAAAAATCCCTAGACTTATTGTTATTGATCATAACAAAAATGTTTATGCTACAGGATTCAAAAATTCCAATTTATCAAAAAATGTGGAAATTTATGGAAAAATATCCATCAGTGTTTGTATCAACTTATGAAGAAGGCACGAAAAAAGTTCTTGGTGGAAATTATGCCTTCTTAATGGAATCAACGATGATAGATTATGCCGTTCAAAGGGACTGTAATTTAACGCAGATTAGTGGTCTTCTAGATTCCAAAGGTTATGGTATCGCAACACCAAAAGGTTCGGTTTGGAGAGACAAACTGTCATTGGCCGTGTTAGAGCTCCAAGAAAAAGGTGTTATTCAAATGCTATATGATAAATGGTGGAAAAATGCAGCTGATATATGCATTAAAGACGAGAAAGTAAAGGAGTTTAAACCAAAACCATTAGATCTTAATGATCTTGGTAAGTGTGAAAAATAAAAACATCAGTAAATTATTTTATAAGTTTATTTAAAGTTTATAAATTCGACTAGTATAAAAAAATATATAGTTCATTTAATATTTAACATTATTTTAAATACATATTATTGGTTGTAATAGCGAACGATTTCTAATATTTTTATTAAATAAAACATAATTTGGCAATACATTTATTTTTGTTTTAATCTTTTAAATATCATAAACATTAAACACCATAAAATTAATTTTATTTTATTTATTAATTTATTTATTTTTATATTAATTAATATTTATATTAATTTATATTTTATATTAATTAATTTTATTTATTAATTTTTTTTTTTTTTTTTTTTTGATAATATACAAATGCGAGACGAAAATAAAGTAAATTTTTTTTCCATGTATACTCGTACATTTTATATTAGATAATTTTAACACAATTTTCATTTTCTGACGTAATGAACACAAACAAAACACTAGAACATTAAATTTGTGTGAACAAAATTTCGTTTCATATTTAAATTCAAATAAATTGTAACAATATGAATTTTCTATGATTAGGTGGAGTGTTTGTTTTTGTCTTGTGTGGGCTTACTGTTGCCGTCATCATAGCGATATTAGAATTCTGCTGGCATTCCAAAAAAAAATCAACAGATCAAGTAACTTTTATAAACTTTTTTAATGATGGGTTTCATATACCTAAGTCAAATTATTATATATATACTTATTATTTAAATTTCAGCAACAATCTGTTTGTACGGAAATGGCAGAAGAATTAAGATACGCGATACGGTGCGATGGCACCAAACATAAAGCCACGTTAAAACGAACGTGCAATGGTTGCTCACCGATCACTACATACGTACCAGCTCCAATGCATATGAATCATGTTACCAGTCAAATTGTAAGTTAAATTAGTAAGATGATTTTTTACAAGTTTTTTTGATGAAAATTCAAAACATAAATTTTGTATAAGATATACGTATATATTTACAAACTAAACTATTACACTTAAGCTAACGATTTATGCATATATTATTACACAACATTTAAACTTATTTAACAAACAAGTGTATTATTTTATATTTACATTAACTTTTTTTTACAGGATAATGTTCCTATGATGGAACTAACAAAACCTTCAATCAGCATCGACCATGAAGATAAATAACATTTACCTTCCGATTCGCCACCATTACACCCTGCGAGTCGGAGCCCATTCAAAAATGTCCAATTTCGATTCCATTGAATCATAAAACCCACTAAGAAACAAAATCAACTGCCTTTAAATTGAAATCTATGTTTTAAAATCAACCAAAACAAATAGTTACAATTGTTAACTAAAAATGTATATAAATTGTTATTATGTTATTTTATTTTATACATTTATTTGAATTAAACAATCGAATACTTAATTGCAGAAAAAATTATTATATTAAAAATTGTTTTACGTTTTATGGTCGTTTACATATTTTTCACGAAGAGCTAAGTTAAAAATTATTTTTACTACGGTTATTTATAAAAATTTAATTATAGCAACCAAAAAAAAGAATAAATTAATATTACTTAGGTATTATTGATTGTAGGGACTCTAAACATTGATTGGCTCTAATACTAACCAAAAATACTTTTTTTTTTAAAGCTTCCATTGAAATATACCCCAATAAACTTGTCCATTCTTTTATCATTCGTTCCATTGTTTCTGCTTCATTTTCATCTTTATTCTTCAAGTTTATTTTCCACAGTTCAGTTAATTGATTTGTATTTTGTGTCGGTACGTTAACATAAAAATCAACATTATATAATAATTTATCTATTAAGTGAAAAGTGTAATAAATGCTTCGAAGAGAACTATAACTAGGCACAATTTGAATATCAATCTTAAGACGATTAATGAGTAAACTTATGATACTCCATCTGATGTATTTATCATAACAAAACTTAGCAAGTAAATTACATTGATATTCGACAATGATGCTCTGAAAAAAAATTTTAAAAAAAGAGTCATTACATTTTAAATTAATAAAATATATTGTTTCGAGATCAATATATTTCAAATTTCATATTATTTATTAAATTTTAAATCAAAGATTACATTTTTTAGATCAAAAACTTACTTTGAATAAATCATGACTATCTAAGATTCTAAATGCGTTATTTTGAACAAAATTCATCACATGATCTCGACACGTAAAAGCAAATTCATTAGTTTCTGCCATACTAACTACTAAGTCGACAAAATATCTTACAATATTGTTACAATCATTCCAATTCATAACCGCTTCTAATAATTTGGAAGTGTCGAATAACGTGTATAAAAGAATATCCAAAGCTTCTTGAATTGACTGTGACATTGTTATAATAGAGTTTTGATTGATATTCGAGGCGCCCATTTTACAACTGTAAGTGTTATAACCAGAGTCGATTGGTGTCTTTGTTATATCATTCAAAGTTGTCATAGTAATGACAGGTTGAATAAAACAAGTATTTGATTTTTGAGTAAAGTTAGTGGTACAATTACTAACTGAAGATATTCCACAATTGAGTTTAATTTTTTTGTGTGAAAGTGACGTAATATCATCATCTAAAACAATTGTTTTGATTTTAAACAGTATACTACAGGGAGGGCCAACTTTTTTAAACTTGTAATCGACTTTTAAGTTTTATATATGGTCATAATTGACAATTTTTCAATAAAAAAAAAGTTGTCAATGAGCAAAAATATATTTTGTATACATACATATTACATGCCACACTTCCTTTATTTTTTCTATTTAAAATATTAACAAGTTATTAATATTAATAACTTTAATTTAACATTTTACAGAACAAGTATTTTAGTAATTTTTTCATCAATTTATACGAACGCAATAAATATCGTTATTTAAAACGGAATATCCATTAGATTACGTACATATACCTACAACGCTACTCAATCTCAATATATAATTTCGTTTTTCATAGTTATTTACCATTATTATTATAACTATATATTGCCTTAATTAATTGTTATTACAATAATTTTTATATTCATGGGCTGAACAAAAATATAAATATGTACAAAAAAAATTTAAAAAAATAAACGATAGAAAGGGAGTCAAAATCAACTATTTTTTTCGTAAGTATTGACCCGACAACATCCAAATTCTTATGTTCTATGACTGTTTATAAATTATATATAAATAAATAAAATTTGAATTAAATATTTAAACTGATAATGCATTGTTCAGAAGTTATTCAACATTTAATTTATTATATCGATACATTTAAATGACCTTGATTATTCGAGGTCTGGAAAACTATATTTACCAAAATGTTGCAAATTTGTGTATTTTTTATCATACTCTTATGTTATCATACTCTTAATGTTTAATTTGCTACAGGTACAAAGAATCCTTAGGACGGCTCCGCCTAGGAGTCCCGCTTTTTTTTAATATATAATCCGAAATCTCAATTTTTCAATTTATTAATATTTATTAATTTATAGCTTGGATTATTACAAATTGTTTCGTTTTTTATCAAAATATATAGTAATATATACTCACCAACATTTTTATACGATTCACAAGATGGATGTTTGTCTTCTTCATTTGATAGTTCATAATTTGACTTATTTGATTCAGATTCACCCAAAAATTCCTAAGTAATATAATAAATAACTTATTTATTATGCCTTAATAGTCTTATATATTCAGCACCTATACTATATACTAGGTATATAATTTATTTATATACCTAATTTATTTATAATAATAAATTTATAATCTATAATAGTTAATTTCAACTATAGAATAAAATTAATTTTTTATGTTAAATTAATTTAACAAAAATTAAATAAGTAAGCATTAAAAAACAAACTATCTACACAAAATAATGAATATTAGTTTTTTATAGGCACTAAATCAATGAAATTTTAAAAATAAATAATATAAATTAATCAATATTAGAAGTAAATGTATTTATATGAGTACAAAAATGTACGTAAGAAATTTAAAAATATTTAAAATAACCTACGAAATTACTATTAATTTTGATTTTATAAAAGATTAATCATCAAACATACCTTGAAAAATAATTCCGTTTCTTTTTTTATAATTTTAGACTGAATGCTTGTAACATAATCTACTGAGTTCATTCCAATTGGTTTATTTTTTATTATTGAAACGGCCAAAGCCGTATTTAAATCATTATCCATGCCTGTTAAATTTAATTTTTAATTATATAAAGTAAAATGAGTATACACAGAAAAATTGTAGGTAGTGTAAATTTTTTAACTGAGTATTTTTAAAAGTATAAAATAAATTAGCAGTTTTTAACTAACAACAAATTAATGATTTTTACAATGTACTTATTTATTTTTTGAAGTATATTTAATTAACTAAAATAATATTTTAAAAAAGATTTAGATATCTAAATTAACTAATTTACTATACTAATATTTATTTATTATTCGATACCCTCTAGTTTAGGAACAAAAGCATACATACACGTTACAATGACAGAAAAAATGAGTGTACGAGTATAACACTATAGAAATCGACCGTACAAAAAAATTGAAATGAGTTAGTGTAAAATTCATTCAAATACATTTTAATTTAATTAGTTAATAAAAAAACCTATGATTTAAGCAAGTTTGTGATATTTCGGATGAACAGGAGAACTTCTATAATTTTATTGATAGAGAGTATAAAACATAATGCTACCATATTTTTATCTCCCTCCTATAAGTGAAGCAGGGTTACGGGAACTTAGCGCATTAAGGTGTATTTATTGTGTATAATTATTATAATGAAAGTCATAAGAGCTACCAGGATTTTATTTTTGAAGAGCTAATTTTTTTGTTTTATATCACTTTAGTAAATGATTCTTACTTAATAATTTGTATCTGTACCTATTATGTGAAAGATAGATAAATATTTGGACGCATAAGTCTTCTTAGCCTTACCTAATTGTGCCTATGTAAAAAGTGTTGAAATTCAGTAATAGTATGACCGTAGTTTTTTTCAGGACTCGAATGGAAAAACTTACTCGTAGTACAAGTTTACTATAACTCATTTTTTAATTTTTTTTTTCAACTTACGTATTTTTGTGAACAGTAAAATAATGATGGTGGAATCATCACTCTAATTTAAATTCGAAGTTAGTAACTGTTGAGGTACGCTAATATTTCTTTTTTCTTTTATTATGTGAGCGCTATCACGTTGAATAAAACCCATAAATCGATATAATCCTGTTATATTTATACCTCAACTATTATTTATAACTATATATAATATGTTGGATTAATTATATAGCATAATGTTGAATTTTATGGGAATTAAAAAACAAAATCGGACACAAAAAATGAAAATTACTTATTAATTTAATTAGGACAGGGGATCTATATATACATACCTAATCGTTTACGTTTTATCAGATATCGAAATTGTAAATTTCGTTTTTACGGCTGCAATAACACAAATCGCATCCATAGCCCGAACACTAAGAAATAGACTTCATTAGCATATTATACTCACTATATACCTATAACTTCTAATATACCATTTTCAAATCAAGTCTGGGTGACAAATTTTGATCTGAATGATGAAACGTCATTCCCATAAATCGATGAAATATGAAAGTATAAAAAGTTTTGAAATAGTCTTTAGGATTTTTTTATGGAAATCACAATATAGGTACAATGTTTTAGGGCCTTTGTGATCCATTTTTATAATTTATTATACTTATCATACAACAACGAAAATATCGAATAATATGTCACGTTTCTTTACTGTTGTAATAAAATGAAACGGGAATCTGTCTATGGCACCGTTTTTAACGGAAAAAAAAATATTTCAGATGACCAAACGAAACTTTTTGAGAGCACAAATTTCACCATCACCAACACCTTACACACAATTGACGATACTAAATTACCCAGACAAAAAAGTTTTATATATAGTACAATAACTAATAAATACTACACATTTATCGTTGTAAAAAAAAGTAGTAAACCTAAACCGAAGAATATGTTAACATAAAAATTAATTATAAAATAATATAGATTTTTTTTTTTTTTTTTATGACTATTAAAAGTCTAACATCAATAAATGTAATAAGTTAGGGAGAAGGATAAATATAAGTAATTATAAAAAATATATTATAATAATAATTTATAAAATACGTAAGGTCTTTTTACTCGTTTTCTCCTCAACCATAATATCAATTGTCCACCATAGTCATGGACGTATTTTATCAGGGGCGAAGAGGCGATCGCCCCCCCCCCTGATCCCGTATTTAAGGAATTTATTATACGTGAGATATACGTTTCAAATTTTTTTAATGTGAATAGTTTGGGATCAGTACATTTACCCGACACCGTTTGCCCGACACTACACTTGCCCGACAACCTCAAATTATATCATAAATAAATATGTGTCGAAAATTATTAAAAATGTCAATAAAATATTATATTATACCTATTATGTTAAATACAAATGAATGTTAAATTTTAGAATAATACAACTAATAACTGTGTCAAAAATTAATAATAACACAAACAATATACTGCTTACAATTTAATGTTATGATCGATTTCCCCTGTCATTTATAATTGTACTAATACGTTTTTCTCGTTCAGTGTATTCTTTGCGAGTTGAAGTATATGCCCTTCCACGAATTATATCTTCAGTTCTCCGTTCCATTTGAATTTGCTCTTTTCTTCGGTAATTGTATAAACACCAACATGACATTTTATTTTTGGTAACACGATTGAGAACTTAATAATATAATATACTATATTCAGGGCCGTATTTAGGAATTTGACACCAGGGAGCAACAATAAAAAACGCCTCATTACACCAAATACAAATTTCTGCGGGTTGAAAAACATCGTTCTAAAGAACAATTCATTACTGGTGTACACAAAAACATTCTAAGTGCAATGTCGAAATAAGTATAGATTGTTTGTAAATCTTTGGATCCATCGACAGTACTCGACCGTTATCGAGTATGTGTGTATGTGTGTGTCGTGACGCTATGATTAGTGATGTATATATATATATATTTGTTAAGATACACTTTTTATTTTGTAAAGAAGTTTCACTTCAAAAATATTAGATCATTAAATATTGAAAATATAAAAAAATTAGCCGCCCGGGGCATCAGCACCCTGTAGCTCCTCCTAAATACGACCCTGACTATACTATACTACAATACTATACTTAATACTTAGTACCTTTTCACATAGAAAGATAATATCCATGATAAAATATTCGTCTGATTTAGTTTTTTTTTTAATTATTGTATATTAATAAATAATAATAATAATAATAGTAATAAAATAATGAAATAGTAATAATGAAATAATAATAAAATATTGTACATCAGTATTACATACAATAAAAATATGTAAAATATATTGTCGGGCCTCGAGCAAACGTAGTGTAGGGCAAATGTAGTGTCGGACAAATGTAGTGTCGGGCAAATGGAGTCGAGCAATTGAAGTGTCGGGCAAACATATCAGACTCGAATAATTTTATAACGAAATAAAATTACGCATGGCTGTGAATACTGAATTGGGCTTTTTGTCGGGTCCATACTTAGTGAAAAATTAAATAAAACACATCGCAACTTTCAAAACACAAACAGGTGTTAAAAAAGAACTACACAAACGTCGATTCTAAGTGATTCCGACATGAGATTAAAAAAAAAAATTACAAATATTAAGGATTTACCTGATTTAAATATTACCTACCAACAATTTTACTTGTAAAATTGAGCCTGAATTAAAGAAAAATTTTGAGTCCCCCCTAGAAGTAAGTCTAGATACGCCCCTGACCATAGTTTGTCATTTTACGACTTACCAATTTTTTGTTTGTCACTGATCTTATCTACGACCCAACAAAGTATTCCGTATAGTTCACGCGGTTTTATGTTTTCCTTTGTCAATCTCACCGTATAACATAATTATTATTGTTAATTAGTCCTTTGCTTCCGCCGACAAACGACGAAATGGCAATTTTAGAACGTGTCGAGCGATAACGATCACGGAATAAATTGAAATTTCACATAATTGTATTACTGATATCATCTAAGATTTAGTTAATTCTTGATCTAATCGTGTAAACAGTGGTACATCAGCAAAGTTTTGAAATCTGAAGAAATATAAAAATAAAAAGGATTCCCGGTCGACCTAGTAAATGGAAGAAGAAACTAACAGCCGGGCATGCTTCCAAAGTCTTTGACACAATTGAGGTTATGTTGTTTGATCTCGATCTTGTTCGCAAAACGAATTGATAATTGTATTGCTATCACACATTTCGTTCCCTAATAACTTACTTTAATAATTGTGAATTGTTTATTTTTTACCAAAAATTACCAACCTTTAGAATATTATTTCATAATTCTTCGAAACCGATCGAATAATTATTATGGACGGATCCAAGATGTCGCAAGACGAGCTCGTAGATAAATTGAAACAGCAAGTAGCATTAGAAAATATTGAGCTCTTATTGACAGTAAGTGAAATTTGACATTTTCCATTGCATTGAAACAAATATATTATATTTCATTTACTGTAAATATCATTTTTCTAATTTAATCATTACAATGAATACATTACAAAATTATAGCTCTTTTATTCTCTGCCAAAAAAAATATATTTCATTTTTAAACTTGTACTGTAATACCTAATTTTGAATAATTCTCTATTCATTCTAAATACTGAAAATAATGTTTTAGTTTTAAATTAATAGTGTTTATACTTTTATAATAAATATTATTCAAGACCACCTTAAAAAATAATTATTATTTGGTAGTTTATATATAGCCGTAACATGCTTCTTAATTTATTACTGTGAATAATATATAATTTGCCTTTTGAAAATCAAAAATTCTTCTTAAAATAACTATATCTTTATATACTGTCAATTCAGCATTTATAAAGTTTAAAATAGATTACAAAAATACTACAAAAAATTTTAAGTTCACTTTTTCTAATTGTAATATAGTAATTTTAAATGTTTCTAGATTTTTATTATAAAATCGATAATATTTCACTGTAAATATGTTGAAATCAAAAATTATAATACTCAAAATTAAGATTTTAATGTTTACACCAATCTCCGTTTAAAGAATAAATCAACCATAATATCTGTATCTTTTAAAAAAAAAGCAAGTTAATTAATAAAAGTCTGTAACTGGCTCTTGCAGTTAAAAAAATAATATAAAAAGGAACTAAAACAAAAAAAAAACAATTATGTTAAAAGTAGTATTTACCTATTTGTAAAATTAAAATTCTAAATATTTTGTTAATCATTGGTGTAAAAAGTTAATAACTGTGAGTCATTTTAGTCTCAATAATTATTATTATGAAAATGGATATTTTAAACATTACTTAAATTCTCTATTATACATCCTAAAATAATTAAAAAATACTCACAACTCAACTCCATTAAAATTTTTCAGAACTAATATAAAAATATGCCTTATTGGATTCTTTCTCCTTAAAGATGTTTTAAAAATATTGTATGAACATAATTAGGTACATAAATAATTCATTAATACATTTTTATTATGTAATTTTGCCCTTACTATAAAACTATTAAATCAATTGTTGCTTTTATTTCAGAAAATGAGTCGATTATGTTTTAATAAATGTGTTATAAAACCAGGATCATCACTAGATAGTTCTGAACAGGTAAAATATTAATTATTACGTTTTATTAAATTATAAATTTATAATACAGTTTTTTCTTAGAAATGTGTTTCAATGTGTATGGACCGTTATATGGAAACTGTGAGTCTAGTGTCAAAATCCTTTGGTGAACGACTATTGGCTGAATCACAAAATATGCATTAAATTAAATCAAGATAAATGAGTGTTACTTGTAGTTATAGCTTTCTGTCATGCATACTATTATTATTTGTTTATTTACATTGTAATTTATATTTAATAACAAATTATTTGGTTGTATAAAAAAGAAAAAATAATAAAATACACATACAAATATAATACTTTGTTAATTTTCATAGGAATGTTCATATATGTATGTTATGGGGTTATATCATTTCAGGACTGTCATTTTGAACCTGGAACTAATTAAATATTTGTTAAATATATGTTATAATTTTTTATATAAATAGTTATCAATTAATATCATTAAAATGTTTGTTTTTTATACAAAATGTATTTATAAATTATTAATATAGAAATTTTTCGATATTTTATTAATTTCATACCTCAAATATACAAACTAATTTTTTCTAGATTAATAATTTAACTTACGGATAAATCAGTACTTGGTAAACTATCATTTCCACAAGAAACATTTTCATCAGTCTCAATGTCTTCTAAACTTGACTCATTTTTATTATTTTTTATATCAGACTTTATATCTTTTACATCTTTATCAGTGTTATCACTTTTGCTTGAACTATTTGAACTCTCTACAAATATAGAAAATAATTATTAATAATAACTTGAACCCTACAAATAATATTTTACTTAGCGCACAAACATGTTCTTAAATATTATTTTATCATAGAACAAAATTTTTAAGAAGTATACATGAACCATTACCATACAATTAATGAAATATTAAATATTTTAAAATTAATAGTGAATTTTAACTTATTGCTATCATTGTGAATATTTAATAAGTTAACTGATGAATTGTACAATAATTCATAATTTAGTATTTACTTACCACAGGTTTCAACATCTTTTGATTTAGTATTATCAGAGAGATTGAAATTTGTTGCTAACAATGATCCTATATTTTCTGCATGATTATTATACTGTTCATTTTGGTTAGCTAAATTTAATTTAACTGATGAGATTTTGGGCGTATCTTCAGATACTGTTTTAACTGTCTCAGCATTATTTTTTATTATTTGAGCTAATGTAGAGCCTTCATAAGTGTTATCATCATAATGTGTCTTGTAGTTCTAAAAAATTATATTGTTATTACATAATAAAATATTAAAATGTAAAACAAACCTTAGTATTATTTACTGATTTAGAATGTGATTGGTATGTTTCAAGAATTTGCATTAACAAAGGTCTTTTATCATCTAAAAAAAACTTACTTTAATGTATTTCTACCCAAAACATAAAATAAAATATGTAAAATGAATGTTATTTAAACTTAATATTACCTCTTGAAAGTGAAAGTTCTTCAAAAATATTATCTTTATCAATGTACTGATACTGATGTCCAACTCCAGTTTCTGGATCAAATACTGATTTTGTGAATGTTAACTCTAAATAATCAAGTAAATCATTCACTAAGGATAATAATAATGGTCCATTTTTATTAGACACAAAGTCTTTAACTTTATCTGTACATAATTTGGTCTGGAAAAAAAAAATCAACAATTATTAGTTATTAAACTTTTCAATGAACATAAATTAATATAATAAATAAAATCCAATTAAATACCGAATACATTTTTTAGTTGTAAATCATTTGATATAGCAGTACCTAAATTATCCAAATAATAACCAAATAACCCTAACACAAAAAACTTTCTAAATAATTATGAATAGATGATTTTGAATTATTAACTGATTGAATTGTTTAAATACATAAACATCCGCTTATTAAGATGACTATCTGGGTCATTTTTATTTTTAAGCACTCTTATTTTTTGTTTGTTGTTAATTATTTCTTAAGTTATCCATTTTTGTTTGGGGTCTTATTTTTTTCTTTCTAAGAAATTTTTTGCTGTTGAGTTAATGAATTTCTTTATCTCAATGGTTCTCAACCGGGGTGACATGTCACCCAAGGGTGACATGGACACAGAGTAGGGATGACACGAAATCTCCACAGGAAAAGGAAAAAAATTAGAAAAAAATTAATTTTAATAAAACCATATTATTACAACAACAGTCATGTAAATAGCATACCTTTAAGTTTACATCTTTATATTATTTAGATCCAATGAATACGTGCAGTATTGTTATTAACGCAAAATCGATGTATTATCGATTTTTTTATCGACTTAACCGGGGTCGTTAGTTATTTTACAGTCGTTAGATATGTAGTATTATTATATACAAATAAAATAAATAACAAGTATAAAAATCTTTAAAAAATTTTCTCTTTTTTTTTTTTTAATTTTAAGTATAAACTTTATAATATCAATGTTTATTGAATAATGCATCTCAATAAATTGTAGGTGTTCTACTGTTTTCTTCTGTTTTTATTGTTTTTGTTATTTCAAGAATTATTCTAAAATACACAGTTAAGATTATTTATTATTTTGATGTTAGGGTGACGCGGTGTTTAATTCTAGTGGCTAAAGGTGACATGAATGAAAAAAGGATAAGAATCACTGCTTTATCTCTTTCCATCAATTCTCTATAAATATTTCATTAATTTCAAGGTTGTGGTTCCTATGGCAATTGATTTGTTCATCACATTTATTTTGATATTTTTCTCTTATTTCTGGTATTTTAACTGATTATTGATGAAACAATTTATTTTAAAATATCCTATTCACATTATCTTAAATCAATGATGTTACCCATTGATTATGATTATATTTAAATTATTGATAACAAAAATGATTTAAGTCACATATAAACTACAATCGTCAAAAAACATTCAAGTCACATTAAAATATATGATGTAAAATAAAAATTCTTTGTAAAATTATGTATACTTAATACTATGATCTATTTTATAGTTAAGAAAGTTTGGTAAATTTGCTAGGACAATTTTGAATAAAAACTTAAATTATAAATGTATATCTAATGCTCCAAAAATCTGGTTGACTTCAGTACTGCAATGAACAATTATGTACTTACATATCTAAAATGGGTAGAATTCAATAAAAAATACAAATAAATATAATTTTCTTTGTTTTTATCTATATTCTGTAAACCTTCTATAGCTATAACAGTAGTGCAACTAAAAACTACATTTAACTACTTCAGAATATGAAAAATAACATTTTATTTATGTTACATTAGACAAAGAACATAAGTATTTTAGATTAATATATTACCTGAAAAGATGAACCCTTTTCAAGAACACAGAAAACATTTGCTCGAAGTTCAGCCTATAAAGTAAAGAATAAAAATAAGTGATATAACAATAAATACTTTAAATAATATTGAAAGGGAACAAATATAGAGAATTCACCTTTAAAAAATGTATAATAAATAACTCGGTTAGGTTAAAGTAGCATACAATATATTGTGAACGATTAAATAGCTAATTCAAGACTAAATATAACTAAAATAATCTTTTGACGTGCATACAGAACCTTTAGTATATAATATTTAAGAGAAATTACTGAAAATGTTTCCTATAAAGTATTACACATCTTAATAAATGATAACTACTCAATTTCTAGGCTTTAACATTAATTCTCTACAAATGTTTACTTTTGATAAATCCACTATCTCTAACTTACTCTCATTTTTGACAAAACACCAGTGGACTCCAATGTCTTTTCTACCATCTCTTCTAAATCAGTATTGTCAGTAGACATTTTGATTGGTGACGGACGGATAGAACTCTTCTCTTTATAAAAATATTTTATTTTAATACTTACACGCCACGCCAAAGAACAGAGTTCGAAATAAATCACACACAATTGCTACCAGACAGCAAAGATAATATTTGATACACGAGTCCACAGAAATTCAGCGGAAATAACAAAATTACACAAAACGATTACGCTGGACGGACAGTAAAATATATTTCGTAGTTGTAAAACGTTCGAAAACAAAATTATTAATTATCTAGTGTATTTTATTCGGTATGCTTCGTACTTAAAATTCTCTCAATAGCCGACATGAAATAGAGAATAAAGATATTGAGTAATAATTGACTAGCAATCTTCCACATATATGCTTTTCCGATGCCGGTGGACTTCCTGTTGAGTAAAATAATAATATTATAATATATGTAGTTCTATGATATTATCGTACCCAATCTACTAAAATGTTATCAGTCCTATTTATTATTAATACGAATCCCGCCAAATCCACATCATTGTTATATTCGTTATCAAAACTCGAGGCGTCGTTCGTTTAAAATTAACAGAAACTTATAACAATAAGTATGCGTTAAAATAATTATTATTTCTCTATTGAGATCGGAAGGATTAAAAGAATTGTATGATTTAATTGGAATGATTACCTTTTTTCGAAATCACTTTGATTGTCCCTTTTTCCAACATTAGATATTAGAAAGATTATTAAAAATGTTTGAAACATTAAAGTATTTTTTTTTTCTAAAAGGAAAAGCTCCAAAAAAAAAAAATTGTTTACCAATCTTATAAATATTCTTAATATAAATATAAATATAAATATTCTTCCGCGTAGCTAACTTAATGTTCTTCTAAATTGCAATGAATAATTTAGAAAAATGAAATAAAATGTAGGTAATTACTTAATTTGAGCAAATAAAATAGTTCTATTTCATATGAACTAACCTAATCTAAAACGTAAAATAATATATACCATTGTGTCACTTATTCTTGTAAGTGAAATCTCAAACCAAAATTTAAATAATTTTAACTCTGAAATAACTTCAACGGTGTATGATTAGCAATGGCGGCTCGTGGCTTGGACGACGCGACGATCACACCCCCAACTAATACTTATGTAAAGAAAACAATTCTGATTGTAATAATATACTTATTAATAATTTATTAAATTATTTAATATTTAATATACTAAATGGTGATTTTCAAATAATCAATTTATAAATGTTGTTGAGTGCAATCGCAGCGATTACCATAAGTATGCTTTAAGTATGAACGCCAATTCGGTCTAAACTGTCGTAGCATACGGATGTGTTATCGTTAGCTTCCGCTGTCAGTGTCGAATATTACTTGTTGTTTTCAGTTTTATTTAATTAACATCACGCGATAACGTGCTGCGTTCAGGCTTATGTCGTCCACCCAGTGGTGTACCTGTGGGGGGGCAACAGGGGCATTCCCCTTCCCGAGAAGTTTTTTGATGCCATAATGCAAATTAATTGTTCACCTTAAATAATGTAAATTATAAATATTTTTAATTTTCACTGATTATAATCTTGTTTGATATCAAAAATTTTTGATATCACTTATCAATGTAATATAAAATATCAATATTCCACCGAATTGGGATTAGGAGTGATGGTCACTTATAGTCTTTTATAATGTGGTTATCATTGATATCAAGTGATCAACATGAGTTTTAAGTATTTAGTAATAATTTATGATAAAGTTTCAGATTATATTACAACCATAAAAAAATTTTGCAATTAATTTATGCCCCACCCCCCAAAAAAATGTTTCACAGGTACGCCACTGAGTCCACCTAAGGTGGATCGGGCCAAATGCCACCTCTTAATCGAAAAAAAAGTAAATCTCTAAAAGAATGATAAATCCTCGAGCGAACGGTAAACGTAAGTACAATAGCATTCAAATCAAACTCAGTTTCTCCGATTATTTAATATATTATTGATAATAACCCACAGCCCAGGGACGTATTTTAGGGAGGCGATCACCCCCCCTCTGAATCCATATTTAAGGAATCGATCAAATGTGAAATAAACATTTCAAATTTTTTTAATGTGGATCATTTTATAACGATACTTAGTGTCCATACCAGGACACCAAAACGTTTTTATATCGTTTTTATAAGTATAACGTTAAACTATTCAAAAAGCGATTGAAATCGATAACATAAAAAAACAGCAGGGTTACTTTGACCGTTAATTTTTGGTTCAGTTCCATAATTTGTTTTTGAACTTTATTTGTTAAATCAAGCTATGTTCAATAAACGGTTTTTGATTGTAACGTTATAAACTAAATGGTTTACCGAACATTTCACTAGAAAACGTTAAAATTGCTTATGTTTTTTGAAATGTTTGCCAAAAAAAGCACGGAACCCTACGGTCTCATTAAAAATAATTTCGGTAAACATCAATGAAACATTAGTAGTACATCATACATACATAATAAATTGACAATAGATACACATTTTACGTAGTACCTACATATGTGCATTTTATTGTTGTTATACAAAAAATATGATTGCTTTATTTATAAGTTATGGGTTACATATTTTTGCAGATACAGGGGCGTAATTTCAATTTTTTTTCCAGATGTGCGAATTTTAAGGCAGGCCAATTCTGATATTTCACCAGACCATAAAAAAAATATATATATCAGCATTTCTTACACTTTTTTATCCGTGGAACCCTTTTTGATGTCCACATTTATCGCGGAACCCCTACTTTTTTATTTAGCTTTTTAGCTTTTTTAAGATTATTTGTAAATAAATTAAAACCATATAATAATATTGTGTTAAAGGTATTTAGTTCGAAAAATATGTTAATATAAAAATAAAAATAATAATAATTGTATACATATATATTATAATAATTTAATAATAATTACTTTAATTAGACCAAATATAAATTTAAACCAGCGGTTTTCAAACTTTTTTTTCGCGTACCACATGAGTATATTATCAATCAGTCACGTACCATTAATGATTAAAAATAGAACTATACAAACTTCACATAATTAAATATATTTTAAATAAAAAGGCAGTAAAATACTAAAATATAATTATTATTTATTTATTATTACAAATTCATTAGTGTTTTTAAATGAATATATGAGATAAATATTGAATTTTTAATTTCCATTCTACCACCATGCGGCCTTTCGCGTACCACCATGTAGTCTTTCGCGTACCATTAGTGGTACGCGTATCACAGTTTGAGAACCGCTGATTTAGAGTATTCCATATGGCTTATACATTGTTATTTAATATACAAAGATTTTTTTTCTATAATGTAAACAGTTTTTCACCATTACTAATCTTTAGTTGAAAATTTTAAAGTTATTTTCTTAAAAAATTTTAAAAAATTATTTAAGCTTCACGGAATTCTGAAGTGATCTTTGCAGAACCCAGGGTTCCGTGGAACACAGTTTAAGAAACGCTGATATACATTAAATGTAGGTAACCTAAGAAAACCTATGTAAATATTTTTTCCTTCCCTTTTATAATTCTAATTGAAATAACTCATTACGACTAATGCAACTTTTAAATAGCTAGCAATTCATCGAATTAAAAGCTTATAAGTGATTAAAGTAAAACAACTAACTAAAGCCATTTCACTATTATTTGAAAAAAAGGCAAAAGGTATAACGAAAAACAATTTAATTTTTCAATTAAATATCATTAATACAAAATATCAAATTATTAATTATTAATTATTTTAAATTAGCGAATATCTACGGGTTTTACTTGCATTTAAGATAGTTTGACTAGATGATAGTGATTCTACTACACAAGTTACATTATAAATTAATATGTAGGTAAATGGAATGCATATTATTAAATTAAAACTTACAGTTATTTCCATTTGATTAATTTCGGCTTTCTTAAAGAAGCTGACTAAATTATGACAAGAAAAACTGGCTACAAGTAGTCATTTTTTTTTTTTTTTTTTTTTTTGGTTTCTCGTAAACGAGCAGTGCCGCCTTTTCTTTTTTTTTTTTTTTTTTTGGTCCATTTCTAAGATGTAATTGTAGTTATATAAAAAAGTTTCACATACGAAACGAAATACGAATACACACGTTACAAGCTACAATAGTTGAGAGACGAAATCGCAGTAATTCGCACAAATGAATTGATTCCACACGCATCGTTGACGAGCGCGTGGAGGATTGAAGGCACCAAAGATTCACGATAGATGGTTAATCTATGGAGGCACCGACGAGTGTAGTGTACCTCGCCAACACGCGTAAATCAACTCCACGCGTCGTACACATTTAATAAGAAAGCTGATAAACCAAAAATTCAACAAAAAAACTTGAAAAAATATATAGGTAAAATATTATTAAATAAATATATATTTAAATAAAATAAATAGTTAAATATATATTTTATTTAATATATAATATATGAAAACATAATGCCTAAGTTTATTATAACGACACATTGGAGTATTAATGGCAAGCCAATTGCAAACATTTTTAAGTTAGAGGTGCCGTTGCACACCCTGCCTCAACCCAAATGACACCCCTGGTTTAGAAGGAGGGGAGGTTAAGGAATAAGACTCAATTGTCTTTTTTTTAAATGTATTCATCATACAATTATGATTTATCAAAACTTTTATAAACATTAATTTTATGAGTTACAAGTAATTTGAATGGCCTAACCATTAAAGTCTCTTTGTAAAGTTTTTGGCTTCAAATCACAATCTTTTAATTACATCATTACTTTTAACATCTCTAAACTCTCTTTGAAAATTCCCGGACAAAAACACTGAACGAATTACATATTTTATGTCGACACTTTGTAACAAATTTTATTTATATACATAATATAATATTATATAACATACTGGGTATCAACATTATCATAAACACTTATATACGGTTCTCACCAGAAGATTTAGTTATTGGTACATGACATTAATTTTCGGAAGATTTTATTCCTTCGCATTTCAAATAATAATATTTTAGCTTTTGATTGGTGTATTGAAAACATTGAAAAAAAATTACATAATTCGCACAATAAATTTTATTGGCTATTAACTATAACGCGTTGCTATGACGTTTTAAATTAAATCGTTCAATTAACAATAGTTTGTACGAAATATTTGTCACATCAACAACGAAGTCGAGAGTGAACATATACAATTTCCTTCTAATATTTCCTAAAGCTATTAATACTTTAAAGTTTCAAGTGTAAGCGATTTTAATTTGCCAGTTAATTATTTTCCCCATATCCGCTAATCAGTGGTCGATTTATCGACTTTTAAAATATTGGATTTGCCAGTCATTGGAGATCTGTCGAGCAGATATTTTTACCAGGTAAGGTCTTTTAATATTTTTCCAACCTTTTTAAGCCTAGATTATTAAATATAAAATAAAATAATAATTTTTAAGAAAATTTTAGGATGTATTTAAGGATC